TATTTTTGGTCAGTTGATCAAACCTACCAAATTTCATTAGGATCGGCCGACTATATCCTATAGCAGCCATACATATACCTGAACGATCGGAAATGGTATTTGGTAGAAATATCAATTCGTATGTTTGAAAATAGAAGCTTGGGACATTTTTTTAATTTTTTTTATTTTAGTTAATTGGTTTTATTATGATGTAATCATTAGGATCGGCCAACTATATCCGATGTTTGCGATATATATCCGGTTTTAACTGCAAGGGTATATCAACTTCGGCTCCGCCCGAAGTTAGCTTTGCTTTCTTGTTTTTATTTGAATGATTATTGAAAAAAAGTTAATTTGCAAAAACCTTGGTTATTTAATAATTCTTCAATTATAATATTCAAAATATTATAAAAATATAACATAAGTTGTGTTGTTAAACTTTTTGTTCAAGCAACTTAAAATAAGGCACTTTTTTCTTGGTCAATAGAATAGACGCACTTAGACATAATACTTTTTTTTTTTTTAAGTAACTTATTTTTAACTTAAATTTGTAGTTGCTGTTTATATTTAATTTATTAGAAATAAAAAAAAGTATTTCAGTAATGAGTACTGCCTCCTTTGTTAGTAATAACATCATATATCCGGTCCTTCATAGAATAATACAGGGAATCTATGTCTTTCGACGAAAACTCGCTCCAAGCACGTTTAAAAGCTGCAGTTAATGTTTCCTTATCTTCGTATTGCTTTCCTCCTTCGTATACCTTCCGCGTTAGCCAGCCCCAAACATTTTAAATTACGTTAAGCCCTGGAGAACATGGTCATGATTTTAACGTTTTGACACGAAATAAACGACTTTACTACTCGAGCGTTATGAATAGGAGCATTGTCTTGTTGAATAATCCAAGGTATTGGCCCAAAGAGATCATTTAATTTTTGAATACGGACTCCAACAATTTTTGATCTCTTTTGATCCCAACAATCTTTTGATCGATACAAACCAAGTCAATTGTTCCATAAAACGTGATGGCACCCCACACCATTACTCCACCTTCTCGGCTGTGGTGGCGACTTAAATATATCTCATCTTTTCGCAAATCGTGATAATAAAATTGAAAGCTATCGGGGCCATCTAAATTTAAACTTTTTTTATCAGTAAAAACAACAGAACGCCAATCATTAGGCCGAGTGTCTGTTTGAACATTCTACATCATGTATTGTTTCGCGAATTGAAGGCGTTTTTCTTTGCGTGCTGCATTCAGAGAAGGTTTTTTTTTTATTTTTAGACGCTGTAGGTATCCTGAATTTTTTATTATACGCTGAACAGTTGAAAGGCATGCTTTTACTCCGGCTAATTCCTTAATCTTTGCTTTGCACTTCGTCGAATTGGATGGAGTTCTAACAATTTTGCCTACTGCGTGTTCAGATAGTGATCTTTTTTTCCTTTGAAGTTTTTTTCCATATTCCTCTGGATCTTTCAAATATCAATCAACAGTCCTGGAGCTGCGATTTATCTTTTTGGCAATGTTTCGATTGGATGGTCCTTGCGAGTGAAAAACTTTTTGTTCAACTTTTTGACGTTCTAATAAGTTCATAAACCAGCTTTTCCCATTTTAACTTTAAATATTGCTCTTAAACAATTTATTTGTTTATTTTTAATATTTTCTCACTAAAAAACACTCCACCTTTTTACGCAAGACAAAGAAATCTAAAGAAAAAACGGTTTTTCGAAAGTGTTTGCTCTTAAAAATTCCTGAACGCGTAATTTTAGGCCGATTTTCAATTTTTTGAAAAAACAAGTCAGTCCAATCTTCATAGCTTTCCGGAGCAATAGTGTGCCATTCCATTCCGCCCATTCTCTTCTTTTACACACTTTTACTCCGGAGCGCTAGTAAACTTGTTTTGGGAAAAGCGTTATAACTTTAACAATTTGCATCATTTCGTAATGAAATTGGTCTTGTTTTATTCAGGATTAATGAGTCAATATACATATCAATATTAGAATGGAAGTTGGAAGTTATACCGAAAAAATGGCGTCAAAGTTTAAAAAACATGACAAAAATTCAAAAATGTCAGTTTCTTTTGTAAAATTTGTATCCTTTCTGTTTAAATAAATTAAAGACAGTGTTTAAAAAACTGCAGTCGAAGTAGCAGAAGTCGCAATATTTTTGCTTTTCACTGCTTCGACTGCGAGCGCCTTCTGAGAATGAACAGTTTCTTCTGCTTCTGCTTCTGAAAAAATCAGAAGTCGCAGTCGAAGCAAAAGCAGAAAACGATCGCCGACGAAAAGCAAATCAGCAGCAGCAGACGCCGTGTAAAAAATTTTGATTTTGCTTTGCTGCTGCTTTCGCTAAGCAACGCAAGTCGAAGCAGCAGCAACTGCTCGCCTTCTGCAAGTCGCCTTATTTCGTGTTTGTTTTTGGATCCTCGTTTCCAACATACACTAACACCACAACAAAAAAATGATGTAGTGAATCATTTAAAATCAATATGGGACAGGATAAATGACATAAATTCTACTGGACAGTTATGCTCAACCCCAAATTCGGGCTCACAACAATCTGTGAATCATTTTTTTGATGAAGAAGATGAATTATTAAACGCTTACTTAGAGCAAGGGATCCAAACGGAAGTCAGTAGTACATTCGACGTCTACTCAAAGATTGAGAATCTTCAACTTCCTTTCCAAAGAATCGATGCAGACGTTCTCAAATTTTGGAAAGGAAAGCAGTGCACTGACCAGGAGCTATATGCACTAAGTAATGTTTGCTTTGCTGTTCCACCAACTCAGGTAAATATTTTAATAAATTAATGTTCACAGATTCATAAATACAAATGTTTTCTAACAGGTGACGATTGAACGAGCATTTTCGACGTTAAGACTTGTACTTACTGATTACCGAAATCGACTAAGTCAGGAAGTACTAGAGAATATAATTCTGTTTAAATTGAATCCAAGCTTTCTGGACTCAGCGATTGACAACTTATCTCTTTTTCAAGATGACGAAGATTTTGAAACTTTATTTTGAATAATGATATATCTAATAAATAATAATATTTTATGAAAAAAATGAATTAAAAAAAGAATCAAATTGCCAAATTGTTTAATTTATCAGAATACAGGTGCAGCAAAAAACAGCAAAGTAAATCTCGACTGCAGTCGACTGTGTCACGTAGCGACTTGCAGAATCGAAAGCAGCAGCAAAGAAAAATCAAAAATTTTCAAACGGCGACTGCTGCTGCTGGCGACTTGCAGAAGTTGAGCAGTTGCTGCTGCTTCGACTTGCGTTGCTTCGCGAAAGCAGCAGCAAAGCAAAATCAAAATTTTTTACATGGCGTCTGCTGCTGCTGATTCGCTTTTCGTCGGCGATCGGCGATCGGCAGTGTATATACTTTATAGGGTCGGAGATGTCTCCTTCACTGCGATGTACACTTTTGACTCAAAATCATAGCACCCTCTGCAAAGGAATATAAATATTGATACACGTACACGTGTGTTACTTTGTTTTTGTTGAGCGTGCCGAGAAAAAATATTTTTGTATGTTCAGTTTTGTATAAATCGTTTATTTGAAAAAATGATTTATTTGATTATGATATTTACAAAAACCATAGATATGTATTTTAATGTAAGCAATTGATTTCAGTATTTTCTGATTTCCGTATTTATTATATTTAAATAGGAGCTTGTGTAAGTCATGGAAGTAAGTTACCCCTTCCCCTGACAACCAATTCTCAAAGTTAAAGCCTAGAACATTAAAAATAGAAGCCTAGAACATTAAAAATATAAAGACAAATTTCAAAAAAAAAATTATTTATCGAATATACACACGTATTTTCATACACATTAACATATGTGTGTGTTACTATTTTTATGCGATGGCAACCACGAATTCTTGAAAGCGTGATTTAGAAATAACCTCTGTTTATACGCCATATGTATATCATTTCCTGATTTGATTCTAGTACAGATTTCAGCCGTGTAAAATTTGGTATTTTAGTCTGGTTAGACTTTTACAAAAAGTAAAGCCTAGTACTCTGACGACGAAAATCCGCTGTAACACGTGTTACAGCGGACGAACTCTACATAAAAAAAACGGTGTGAAAAAAGGAAGAAGAAGAAATTTTGGCCTTCTAGATTTTGCCGGTACTCTAAAGCCAAGTACTCTGACGACGAAAATCCGCTGTCCCACGTGTTACAGCGGCCGAACTCCATATAAAAAAAAGGTGTGAAAAAAGGAAGAAGAAGAAATTTTTGAAAATTATGGCTATCAAATTGAATGGCGTTGCCAGATCAAAATAGTAAACAGCTGATCTCGGGGTGTGACAATAATTCAATTGATTTATTTTTACACCCCAAACATGGAGGAAAAATTGAAAGAGAAATATAATTGTCGGACCGAAAAATTTTCGGCCCGCAAGGATAAAGTGAAGTTAATGAGTGCGGTCAGGGCGATGCCCATAATATGAGATTTGACCCACAAAGGGCATTTTAATGCCATAAGTCTGAATAATGCTTGGGAGCTCCTTAGCTTTTAGCTTGGTGTTTTCTTTATGTATTTCGCCGCTAAGGAGCTGATTAAGAAAAAGAAAACTGGGTCAAAATCAAAATCAAAATCAATCACAAATCATTTCAATGCCATTTTATGGAATTAAAATGCCCCTTGTGGGTCAAATCCCATATTATGGGCTTCGCCTTGACCGCACCAATTAGCTTGACTTTATCCTCGCGATCCGCGACCGGTCTGCGAAATTGTTCGGTCCGACAATTTTTTTCTCTCAATTTTCTCTCCGTGTTTTGGCTATCAAAAGAAATCAAATGAATTCTTTTAACACCCCAAAATCAGCTGTTGACAGCCTTCACACGTGTGACAGCGAATTTTCGTCGTCAGAGTACTAGGCTTAACCATTCCACTAATTTATAAATGAATTAGTGGTATAATTCCCTCTTGCAAAAAAAAAGACATCGATAGTGAAAAAAAATCGATGTTTTGAAAAATGGTTCACACCATCGATAATATCGGTAGCACCCCGATATTTTGCCAGCCCTAATGTATGTACATTTAGAAAAGGAGAAAACAATGGACGAACTTTTGAATGAGGTAGTGCCACAAGAAGATTTAGAGGTAAAAATATGTAAAAAAAATTTTAAATAAATTGTAATGCGTATCGTTAAAGAGATTTGAAAGAAAATATCATCACGAGCTGGAGTTAGACGGTGAAGTTACCACGGAGACTAAATTCGAGTACCCAAATAAGTCGATTGGTTTAGGTATAATAATATATAATACTTTTTTATTCTTATATATGCTCAGGTATGCATTTTGTCTTGTTCGAAGTCGATATACTAACGATATAAGGAAGGTAAATAAGATACTAGAAATAAATTAGTCTTAAACAAAATTTCAACTCTGCTTGGACTAATCCAGGGAATAATGTTTTTGGAGGAGTTGGCCCGCACACATACAGAGGGAAGGCGTGACTATATTTATTATCTTGCTTTTGGAAATGCTCGTATTAAAAATTATGATTTAAGCTTAAATTACTGCAGAGCATTTTTGGAAATCGAGTCAAACGAGCAAGTTCGGTTGCTTGAGGTGAATTTCTCCTTAAATAATGAATGGACATTAAAAAACATTTTATTTTTAGGAGTACATTAAAAAGCAAAGTGATAAAGAAATAGCGAAGGGCATGGCTGTTGCGGGAGGTGCTGCACTTGTTCTTGGTGGAATTTTGGGATTAGGATTTGCTATGGCTCGAAAGTAATATACATACATATGTACATTTATTTTCTTAAATTTATTGTGACAAAATCTATATTGAATCAGTTATATAAATTAAATGTATTAGTTACAGTTGTAATAAATAATACGTTTTATTTTAAATATTTTTTTAGTAAGCAAAAGCGGGATAAACCATAATTCCACACCGCGGTTTTTACGGGATTTTGTTCCATACAAAGATGCGAACATGGTGAGACTATCTCTGGCTCTTCGTTTATTTAAATTCTTCTATTCCCATATTAGAATTTAGTAAGCACACGAAATTGTTAACATTTGTTTTTAGTCTAAATCATTATATGTCTATATAAAAAAAAAATTATTTAAAATATCGTAAAAAGGTTTTATGCTTTAGATAATAAAAAATAAATATTGGAAAAATTTGTTAATAAATAAATGGTATAGCCATTCTAAGGGGAAGTTTTGACCTGAATATATATATATTTTTTTGTTTTAAGTTACCACGACGCCCTGGGAAGTCGTGGGATTATTTGGCCGCCCTAAAATATAAATATTATTTTTAACAAAGAATTGGGCACAAAGTCCCTAGATTGCCGAGAAAATAGCCCCAACCTTTATGGTCCGAAAGCAAAAAACACAAGTCTACAACAATGTAAAGGGTGAGGTCGAAATGAAGGGTATTATAAAAAAAATATGGATATGACAGAATAATATGACAGAAGAATAAGTAAGCGTTTTTGATAATACAATTCCCAACAGACAGTGCCAATGGGTGTTAAATTTAAAAAACATAACCCGCATATTAAGAATACATGTATGTATGTACATTAGATCAGTGGACGGGACGGCCCTATCCGGCACACCACAATATAACCACACACACACAATATAAATGTGTGAAACCAGCGTTTAAAAAACTGCGGCAAATTTCAGTTCATATGATTTTGCTTGCACAGCAAGCAAATTTTGCTTTTGCGCTAATTGCAGAAATATGACAAAATACATAAGAAAAACCTCCAATGGATATCGTGAAATATTTGAATTAAAAAAATTAAAAATGCCACAATTAGAATGTCCAACCAGATGAGGATCTACGTTCATAATGTTAAACAACTTGTTGGAAGCCAAAGATATTTAAAGTAAAATTGATTCTATTAAAAAAAATGGGATGAAGAGAATTTTGATCTAGATTGCTCGATTTGGGATTTTATTGAGGCTTATTACAATGTTTTCAGTCCCTTGGGGGCCGTCCATATATTGCGTGACGCGAATTTCAGACTTTTTTGACCCCCTCCCCCCCCTGCGTGACAAACCATGACACGAGTTTAGACCCCCGTGACTACAAACCGTGACGTTAACCCGGATCCCCCTAGCGCGTCACGCAATTTATAGACGGCCCCTTGGACTGACAAAAAAAAAAAAAAATTTCAAGAGGAACAATTACATAGGACTAACTTTTACGCCCAATGGCCCAAACTTAAAATTTCTTCAGAAAAATTTGTAAAGGATTCAAATCAAAGTTTAACGAAAACTATTGGAAATGCAATTTTAAATTCTATTCTACGAACAAAAATATTGTTTAACAACAAATTTATAATTTCTTGCTTGTTTTTGGATCTACGTTTTCAACATATATTATCGCCGCAAAAAAAAATTGACGCAATAAATCATTTAAAATTATAAACTTAAACTTCTTCACCCTACTGGCAATATGTGCTCAACTCCGAATTCCAGCTCTAATGAAATGAAGAACTTTTTTTTTGATAAGGAAGACTAGTTCTTAGAAGCGTACTTATCTCAAGGCGTTAAATCAGAAGTGAGTAGTAGAATCAATGTCTATTCAAAAATTAAAAACCTGAAACTTTTTTATCAAAGGATTGACATAGACGTTTTGTCTTATTGGAAAGGCAAACAGTATACCGACCAGGAATTATACGCAATTAGTAATGTTTGTTATGCCGTACCGCCAACAGGGGTAAATGAAAATGGCTTAATAAATTAAAATTTTATCATTTATTTATTATTTTTCTAACAGGTGCCGATTGAACGAGCTTTCTCTTCTTTAAGACTGGTGCTTACCGACTATCGCAATCGATTAAGACAAGATGTTTTTGAGAACATATTGCTCGTCAAATTAAATCCCAGCTTTCTGGACACTTTTTGAACAAGAGGTACTTTGTAATGAATAAAACAAAAATGAGTATTGAATGTTTCCAACTTATGTATACGTTCGAAAGAAACAGCAAATTTTCTGATTTTGTTCTGATTTTCGTTTGATTTTTGCGGCAGGCAAGCATACGACTTCTGACTTTTTCAAAAGCAGAAGCAAAAGCAATTGCATACTTTTTGATATCGCTCGCAGTCGAAATAGCAAATAGCAACAATATTGCGAATTCTGCTAATTCAGTTAGTTTTAGTAAACCAGTGGGGGGCAAACTCTCATTTTTCATAGCATAGGGTAAGAAATTCTGCCGCAGCGCTGCCGGGACACTGACAGTGTAAGCACTTTCAAATTTTTTTAGAAGCTCTCTCATTTGACAGCCCAAACTTAAAAATTAAAATGTTTCCACTGGGATAAATTTTCTTAGAAATTGGGTTTGAAAAAGTTTTCTCCATAGAAAATATAGATGGGGAAGCGTAGTTTTTCATTTGTTTAAGAACTGTTTTTGGCAAATCTTCATCATCTTTGTAGTGTACAGCGACCACCAGTGAGCTTGCCAAGACGGACATAAATCCCACGCTGCTAGACGTCCTGGATCCAGCTTACCTCGAGGCGGATACTTACTCTCTATTCTCTCGGTTGATGGCATCTGTAGTGTCGTACTATCGCGTCTCAAATCTTGTCTCGACGCCCGGCGGCCACATAGACCAACGCATTGAGTCCCCCGGGGAAAACGAGCAGCAAACAGAAGCGGAGGTTATCAGCCAGTTGAACTTTATACTTGCCAAGCAGGACCAGCATTTGCACCATTATCTCCAGAAGATGGAAATTCCGCTTCATATTCCTTCTTTTTGGTCGGGAGTTCATGCTGCTGGACCTGCTCTTGCTTTAGGACGCAATATTTGCCGATAGCGACCGCTTCGATCTGCCCAACTACATTCTGGTGGCTATGTTGGTGCACATCCGCGAAAAGCTGCTCCTTAGCGACTACACCACATCTCTGACATATCTTATGCTATCCGGGAAATGTGGACGTGCATTTGGAACCCCAAAAACTTTGATTATCCTGCCAACGCTTTCACTTGTGTGTCCTTCACAAACAACTCGGCGGGTAAAGAAGCAATTGTGCCAGCTGCCCGACTCCGTACCGTTTCGGAAACCTCTTTAGTGGCAACCACCACTGAGCGAATCGTCGTCGCATGCAGACGTGTATTTATTGTGCTCCGGGAAAAAAACATTCATCAATATCAAAAAGTGCAGTGACTGGTTTCGTAAATCAACAACAACGCGAAAAGACGCTTTCAGCGATGAAATCGCTAATGTTTATATTGATTAATTAATTAATTAATATAAAACATAACATTTAAAACTCGAACAATATCAATTTCGATTGCAATGAGTCTAAACGACGTTAGCACACAACGTCAACGTGAGCAAGACGAGAGACGGCTCTCAGTACAAAGAAACAACGCATACTTCACTTTCAAAGCAACCGAAAGTAATGCAAGCTCATCCCAAACACGGTCAATTACCCCAAACTTGGCCGAATTCTTAAACGTAGAGAGCGTGAGAGCGCGTTCTTGCTCCCCCCTCGCTACCATCGATGTCTCTGCAGCCAAAGAGCGCAGTAACTAGCACCGCAACCTCTTTGACAACGTCAACCGTAACAACAACAACAACCGCTACTGTAACGACAGCGCGTTTAACGACGTCATCAGCTAGCAACGCAAACATTGATACTTCAGCCGCTGTGCTGCCCGAAAAAGAGAACAAAAACAAAGAAAATATTAAGCCGGCTGTGCAGACTGGTATGGATCGTTACATCCAAATCAAAAGGAAGCTGAGCCCCCTAAACTCCCAACGCAAAATAACCCGTGGCAATGCTAACATAGCCGCAATAGAAACGCCCACGAACTCAAACCGTTTTAAAATCTTGGCAGACTATGAGGATGACGCCGAATCTACAGAAGTCGAAAAAAGGAAGCCTAAGCCCCCGCCAATATACATACGAGAAAAAAGTTCCAACGTTCTTGTCAACAAAATTATAGAGCTCATTGGCAAGGACAACTTTCACATAATACCACTCGTAAAGGGCAATATCCAGGAAACAAAAGTTCAAACGAAGTCTGAAGATAATTACAGAGTATTATCAAAATACCTCACCGACAAAAAAAAGAACTTTTATACGTATCAGCTAAAAAGCAGCAAGGGCTTGCAAGTCGTACTTAAGGGCATAGAGCCCGAAGTACCGCCTGCAGAGATAACAAAGGCGCTACAAGAGAAGGGATTTAGCGTTAAGACAGTGTTCAATATCTCTAACAGGGATAGAAAGCCGCAGCCACTCTTTAAGGTTGAACTCGAACCACAAACTAAGCCCCTCAAGAAATACGAAGTGCACCCTATATACAATCTTCAGTTCCTGCTGCACCGCAGAATTACAGTTGAGGAGCCGCACAAACGCAATGGCCCGGTACAATGTGCGAACTGCCAAGAATATGGCCATACAAGGTCTTACTGTAAACTGCGCCCAGTTTGTGTAGTTTGCGGTGAGCTTCATGACTCCGCACACTGCCCAGCGAGCAAAGATGACCAAAACTCGAAAAAGTGCGGCAACTGCGGTGGAAATCACACTGCTAACTATAGAGGTTGCCCAGTTTATAAGGAGCTGAAAAGTCGCATCCACCAGAGGGGACTTACTGCCCGCACCCAAAATAATCAGTTCATAGCCTCCAGGACAAACCCTGAAGTCTTCTTCTCGACCGCAGCCAGATCCTCACTAGGACTTACAAACTCTGACAAAAATGTCACATACGCAAGCGCTTTAAAATCAGGACTGGCTACCCCAGCCTCAAAAAGCTCACTGCCGCAATCAGCACACCAAGAACCGAACACGGCTCAGCAGTATCAACTTCCGGAGCAGTCAAAAAGTAACTTTGAAGCAATGATATGCAGTCTACAACAAAGCCTTACGGAGTTCATGTCGTTTATGCGTACAACCATGCAAGATCTAATGCGAAACCAAAATCTATTAATACAAATGCTGGTTTCACAACAATCCAAATAATGACTTCCCTACGAATATCTACATGGAACGCTAACGGCGTTTCGCAGCATAAACTCGAGTTAGCGCAATTCCTACTAGACAATCAAATCGACGTAATGCTGCTTTCAGAAACACATCTTACGAACAGATACAATTTCCAACTACGAGGATATTCATTCTATGGAACAAATCATCCAGACGGTAAAGCACACGGCGGGACTGGAATTTTAATCAGAAGCCGTATCAAGCACCATTATCATACGAAATTTGCAAAAAACTACCTACAGGCCACATCAATAAATATACACCTAAATACTGGCAAGCAATTAACTCTAGCTGCCGTATACTGCCCCCCACGCTTCACCATAGCCGAAGATGAGTTTATGCAGTTTTTCAACTCACTCGGAGACCACTTCATAGCAGCAGGAGACTACAATGCCAAGCACACACACTGGGGATCTCGTCTTGTGACCCCAAAAGGAAAGCAGCTCTATAATGCAATTATCAAAGCTAAGAACAAGCTAGACTATGCTTCTTCTGGCACACCAACATACTGGCCGGCAGACCCAAAGAAACTTCCCGACTTAATTGACTTTGCGATTACCAAAAACATTCCTAAAAATCTGATATGCGCCGAATGCCTTTCGGATCTTTCATCTGATCACTCGCCTGTCCTTTTTACTCTACTCCAACACCCAGGAACATGGGATCAACCATCAAATCTGACCTCGCATAAAACCAATTGGGTTAAGTACAGGAAGTACATCAGCTCACACATTGAGCTGAGTCCTCACCTCAGCGACGAAGCCAACGTAGACAGTTTTGTTAAATCGCTGGAGTCTGTACTCGTCTCTGCAGCTCGAGTTTCAACACCTCAAATTATAAACACACAACGCAATCAAAAGAAGACAAATCTACAAATCGAACAGCTCGTCCTCGAAAAGCGACGCTTACGTCGAGAATGGCAATGTCACAGATCGCCATCTGCTAAGCAACGCTTCAAACATGCCTCACGTCAACTTGATCAAGCTCTACAGCAAGAAGAAACGTATGTCCACCACCGCTACATAGAGCAATTGTCAACTAACAGTACGAAACACTCACTATGGAGAGCTCACCCAACTCTGAGCTCACCGAAAGAAACCGTGATGCCTATTAGAAATTCCACAGGCGGGTGGGCGCGCAGCGACGCAGACAGAGCCAGTACGTTTGCCAAACACCTTAAAAATGTCTTCCAACCAAATCCTGCCACCAATGCGTTTACTCTGCCGACTCTATCAGATGAGCCCCAGCCTCAACATGAGCCGATTGAGTTTCGCCCAAACGAAATCGTTAACATCATCAAACTGAATCCGAAAAAATCCCCGGGCTGCGACCTCATAACTCCCAAAATGATCATTGAGCTCCCATACTGTGCCGTTTGCACTCTCACCCAGCTATTTAATGCCATCGCAAAACTTGGCCACTTTCCAGTGAGATGGAAAAAGTCAATTATAATAATGATAGCAAAGCCGGGAAAAGACCACACTATCCCCACGTCGTATAGACCTATAAGCCTACTCTCTTGCCTATCTAAACTCTTTGAAAAATGCCTAATGACTCGGATAAACACATACCTGAGAATCCAGGAAGGAATCCCGTCACACCAATTTGGGTTTCGTGAAAAGCATGGAACAATTGAGCAGGTCAACCGGATAACATCCGAAATTCGGAACGCGTTCGAAAAACGAGAGTACTGTACTGCCATATTTTTAGATGTCTCTCAAGCATTCGATAGAGTCTGGCTGGAAGGTCTAATGTAAAAGATCAAGACAATGCTCCCCTACAGCACCCACAAGATTTTGGAGTCTTACCTTCACGACAGAAAATTTGTCGTGAGGTGCAATACCGCTATATCCGATGAGTACACTGTTGGAGCTGGAGTTCCTCAAGGCAGCGTGCTAGGGCCAATATTATATGTCCTCTACACAGCAGATATCCCGACAAGCACACGTCTAACAACATCCACGTTTGCCGATGACACAGCTATTCTTAGCCGCTCAAAATGCCCGATTCAAGCAACTGCGCAGCTAGCTCATCATATGGTCGATGTCGAAAAATGGCTGTCAGACTGGCGAATTAAAGTGAACGAACTAAAATGCAAGCATGTTACGTTCACTCTGAACAGGCAAAACTGCCCGCCGATAACACTAAACAACACTCTACTCCCACAAGCAAACGAAGTAACATACCTAGGAGTACATCTCGACAGAAGACTC